GGCAGGCTGAGGCTGGACATTAGGAAAAACTTCCTACCTGCCAAGGTGGTTAAACACTGGAATAAATTGCCTCGGGGGGTTGTGGAATCTCCATTGCTGGGGATTTTTAAGAGCAGGTTAGATGATGGCTTACCAAGGATGGTCTAAATAATAGTTACTCCGGGCGGGCCGGGCTGGGGCACTCTGTTTCCCGCCGCCATGGTGAAGCGAAGTCACTGGGCTGGGAGAGGGCACAGGAGCGGCACAAGCTGCTGCTTGTTGTGCCACTGTGCTCCTGCCATCACGAGTGCCGGAGGGGGCGATCCCTGCAGCCGCCCCATGTCATGCCCCTCGCCCCCGGTAAGTCCCCAGGCTGCTGTGGGCCCCCATCAATATGGGGGAATGTCCCATCCATAGTATCATTGGGGCAGCCATGGTGGGGGTCCCCCAAAGCATGGGGCCGGGGGCAGTTGCCCTGAACTGGCCTATGGAGGGGACATCCCTGTGTGGAGAGAAGTAAATCAGGCACACACCCAACAAGGAGGCCACCGGACGATCTTTCCACCCAACTCAAGTGTTTCCCTAGGGGCCGAGAGCGTGAAATCGTTGATGCTGGACAGCTCGTCGTTTCCCTCTGTCTCTGTAGGTTTCAGTAGCTATGGCATTGTTCTTTAGCTTCACTCCAGCTGTCAGTGAGAGGATGTTTGATAACCTGGGACCACACAGCCATATACTCACCTTGCCTCACGTGCTCCTACAGCCTCTCGTCTAAACCTAATAGAATTGCTAACGGTGATTCTCACCTTACTGATCCGGATACGAGAGTTAATCAGGCGGCCCAAGCCATAGTACAAGTCACTGTAGTTTAAGATACCCATTAGTAATACCTACCCAAATGCATCAAATTAAACAGGCTGCACATCCCCTACAGGCGCTCTGTGAAGTTAAATTAGTTAATGCATGTAAAACAGTGCTGCTATGGGAGGCACAAACTGTTATTATACAGACCTGTCTGTAAGACATTGACGCCTAACTTCAATCGGATTACTACTTTACCCAGGAGCAGTTAGAGCTGCGCAGAAGGCAGAAGTTTCATTTCATTAAAGATTTCAGGATTTGGAAATCTGGCTTCATTCACACCCCTCCTCTCACACAAAACACCCTTCATTATGGGATGATCAAAACATTTAATTTCATTTTTTTCTACATTTAGAATCCTCATGCAAAATACAGTTTTGAAAAAGTCATTTCAGAGCAAAAACCTGAAATGTTTCCTTGCAAATAGGCTGGAAACTAATTCAACATTGTCAGAATTGTTTCCTGGTTTTTTTTCCTGAAAGGAAATTCCAGTGAAAGTCAGTGGATTGTGCAAAGGGTTTAGATTTTGATGAAACCAAGTATTCTGCTAGAATCTATCAATGTCTCCTTCTTCACCCTCCAACCAGCTATCTGATGCAGCCTTCAGTTTTGGTACTGGACAGTTAGGCAGGTTTCTGCAATAAAGTCAAATGCCCCAGAGTCTCGTGTGGTTATTCTAGCTAGCCCCATCCCTGACTGCTTAGGCTCTTCATGATGGGTCTAATCACAGCCTCCCCCTGGCTTCCTTACTCTCCAGAGCTGGCCTAGTCTTCCAAGATGGATTTTTGAGCATGATCCAGAATTGGTGGATTTGGCACAAATGCCTCATTGCTGGCAATCAAATCCCACAGCTCTTACAGTCCGTATCCCATTCAATGGAGGAATCTCTCTGCCAAGCAACCTAGATATCGCCCAGAAGGGTATTAACTGATTCCAGGAAAATAAAAGGCACTGAAAGCCAACTACTGATCTCAGTGAGTCAGAGTGCGACTGATTTCATGTTTCTAGAAGCTGACAGATTCCTGCCTGGAAATCTACCTTTTCATGGAATTATTTTTAAAATTGATTGATAGGAGTTTAACCAGATCTTGAACAAGGAATGAATATAACCCACAGGAGAGAATATGCCATGAATCCAGCAAGCAATGCCCAAGGGGCAAAAATAATCAAGAGAAGAGCAATCAACCCAAATGAGAAGCACATTTTTTTTGTCATTCTTTACATGCTTTTCAAAAAAGACCCCAGTTTAGTCAAGAGGAAACAAAAAGCATAACATCAGCTTACTCTGTATTACCTCTTCTGATAACGCATAGGAAATTTGTATCAAACATGACACTCCCCAAAACATTCAAGTAAAAGCCTACATTTCCAAATATGTGTCAAGAAAGAGAGATGAAGCTACTCATTCAGACACCATCAAAATCCAATGAAGTTCTTAGGCTGTTGAAGTTCTGAGCGCGATTGCTCTAAAAGCCACTGAAAAAGGAAAATTACTGTGGGTAGTTGTTGTAAAGTTCCCAGTGCACAGCAGTAAAAATCACTGGAGCTGCTGCCGATGCTTCGGAATGTTTTGCTCTACCATGCTCCATTTTTTTCTCCCCTTTTTGAATCAGAACATTCATGAAAAAGAGCTGGAAAACAATAGCTGCATGTGTCCTTTCTTCATTAGTGCTTCTTCGTTGAGATTCAGTAGGGCTATGATGGAGATGTTGCTCTCGCTAGAAAAAAAAAGAATCCTTAGCCTTCCAAAAGTTACCCACCTCATCAGATTCACTTCAAAGGCAGGCATGGCTTTAGGAAGTAGTTACTAAAGCTAGCGACCGGGTGGGCATATCCCCTACCTCAGTAAAAGGCTTGCATGTGCAGGCTGCTGAGAACTGTGAGTTCCCACTAATGTTCCCAGGAACTGAAAGTGCTCAGAAACGTGCAGGATCAGGTGCTAAAGTACCCCTGAAATCCAGCAGCCTCCTCCTCCTTGTATTAGTTCTGTCCCCTTTAGTGAAAACCCGCTGGCCTGTGTCAGTCTCAATAGCCAGCGGAGGATCTGTCTCAAGGCCTGGCTCCACATTTTCATAGCAATGAACAGCTGTCACTCCCTTCGGTTCTGGCAGATCACTTTGCTTTTTCACTCTGAATCCTGCTTTCCAAGGATTCACATTTGAAATGCAGAAGCTTGTTATCTTCCATCTCCATATGCAACCCAGCTTGCAGAGCATGAACCTTGGATGTGAGTGTTTCGGACTAATCTGCAGCTTTCCAATTCCTGCGTTCAGATCCCCAAATTGTTGGACCTCGGGGACTAATTCGCCACTGAGATAATCCATTTGTCGCTGCTGGTGTTCAAATCAAGCCTCCCATTTGGAGCCGTAGACTGTGAACGTCATAGGACTTTTACCGTGATTATTAGTTATATCAGTTTCAGAAGCTTCTTTGCATTGAGGGGCTGATGATACCGTAGCTGCAGGGCGTGAGGAAGGGGCTGTCTCTGGAGTCTTCTGCATCGGCTAATTGGACATTAAAGTCCAGAAAGGAATCCCCTGGACTCTCAGCTTGGGCAGCTTTGAAGCTTGTGCCATTTAGGAGGCATATTTAAATATAAAAGAGGAGAACATCGCATACCCCTGACCAAGCTCGAGACCCAAGTCCTTTCTCGGTTCATGTTACATGCTGCCCCAAACAATACCTCTTGAAAGAGCAAGACACCCAGAAACCATCACTGCGAAGAAAAGACCAGCCAGTCAGCCAGACCCACCTGCTAGCCCAGCGGTGGGCAATAATTTTTGACAGGGGCCACTCCAAGAATTTTGTAAATGATCAAGGACTGCACTTCTATGATGTTAATGGAAGAGGTGTGGGATTTGGGATGGAGGTTGGGTGCAGAAGAGATGTCAGAGTAGGGGACCGGGATGCAGGAGGGGGTGTCAGGTCTTGGAGGGGGTATGGGTGCAGGAGAGGATTCTGACCTGGAGGAGGACTGTACAAGGCATGCAGGGGTGCAGCAGGCTGGGAGGCTGCCCGAGGATCCTGCTGGGTCGCAGGACGATGGTGGGCCAGATCCAAAGGTTTGGCGGGCCGGATCTGGCCTCCAGGCTGCATTTTACCCACCCCGGTGCTAGCCCGTCTTCTTTGAAAGAAAAAGCAGCAGCCAAAAGCCACAAACAAGAAAAGCATCTCCTGCCTCAGGGTGGGGTGTTCCCAAACCATAGAGGTCACTGAGTGCACGGACTCACTGAGCCTTCTGGGCAGCTGAAGCCTGGATCAAAAATGCATTGAAGGTCCTATATAAATAGTAAGGGCAGGATTTAGCAATAACGTTCTGGTTGCTTTGTGCTGCTACAGTGACATAAGCCAACTAGGAACTCCGCTTACAGCTGCTGTGTAATCCGAGCAGTGCAAAAGAGCAGAGCCCTGCAAACCCGTAGATGTCTGCGAGTATCCGCATCTGTGGACGTGAATGCAGCTCTCCACGGATGTGGGCGTAATGTCTGTATTCACGCAGGGCTCTACAGAAGTGCTCATCCGTGAATTTCTCCCAATGCAAGTTATTTATTTGTATGACAGTGTGGTGTAAAGGGCCCCATTCCACTGGAAATCCTCCTCCTCCGCCCCCAACACACACACACACACACCCCCTCTAATGTGATATATGCCATAAAGTGCCACCAACACACACACACTCACACACACACACACACACACACACACACACACACACACACACCCCCTCTAATGTGATATATGCCGTAAAGTGCCACCAACACACACACACACACACACCCTCTAATGTGATATATGCCATAAAGTGCCACCAATGCTCCTCTGCCATGTATGCTGGCCAAACTGGACAGTCTGTACAGCAAAGGTTAAATGGACACAAGTCAGACGAGTGGGGAGGAGAACCAAGGCACAGAAAGGGGAAAAGACTCACAGCTGACCACTGGCTGAACTGGGATTAGAACTCTCCCGATTCCCAGCCCTGCCCAAGGCTGTGCCGCAACTCCAAGTGCAGCATCGGCACGTGCTAGAATCCTGCCATTCACTCAAACTTGCCCGCACTGTGCTAAGGAGAGGAGAAGAAGGTTTCTAGCTGTTTCTAATCCTATTGCTGGTACCTGGGTTGCTGTGCTCTGTTTGTCAGCTTCAGAAAACACACACCGCACATGCTGATCAAATATCCTTTTATTTTGTTCAATTACTCCATGCCCACAACTTTACAAACTGTACACCTTTGGAAGAGGCATTGCTTCAAATACTTAGGAACAATACAACTATGGAACTAATTCCCATTTGCTACAATTATTTTTGTTGAAAGCAGTAGCTCCTTCATATCAAACGTCTGTCTCATTAAAAAAAACAAGTGCAGAGCAGAAAAAACCAATATTACCGTTGATTCCCTTACAACAGCCAGAATCCTGGAGCTGTGCGTGGAGAAATACGTGTATGTTTTTAGAAAAGGCACTGATTTCAAATAAGACTGATGTGTGTATCCCCCTCTCCCCCCAACTGCACATGCAACTTATTAATTGGCTCAATTAGGCATCTAAATCACAAATGCACAGCACATGGACATTTTGCACACACACTTTTACAAAACTGGCTCTAAATACTGTTCTCTGCATTTATCACTTCAGTGTAATGATTTCCAAATCACATCACTGAGTCATAGACATGTTGTTATAAAGTCAATGTCTTCACATAAGGCTGCTTTAAAATCCCTAATCCATTCAGTACTCTTGGTATCCATGTAATCATGACCAGCTATCATGGGATCTCAAGCTCTTACCTTTCTCTTACTGTGCCCCCATGAAGGGGCTCTCACCGCCATCTTGCTTCACAATCTTGTGCATCAGTTTCATTTATTTTTGCACGTTCTCTAAACTGGTTTCTCTTCTGTCCTCCACCCCCTTTTTTGCAGGCAATACTACTACCAAAGTAACACTAGGAGGCTTGGAGAACCAGAAAGGCGGGAGAAGAAATGTCTTTATTATACACTCCTCTGGAACGTTTCAGTAGGGGCAACCTGCCTGGAGTTGGCAATGTTAGTAAAGGAACAGTCAGACGTACAGAGGATGCTGCTTATGGTGACTGACCACTCCACCTTTGCTTTGGATCCCAGAGATCAGGAGCGTGGTGCAGCGGAGTTGTTACAGAGCGATGAGAATCAGGGTTCCATGCAAGTGATCCAAGACGGAGGGCATCAAGAAGTTGATGGGTCTGTAGCAGCAGGACAGAGAGGGAAAAAGCAGCATCTCTGAGACACTAAGCTGGGAGAGAAAAAACGGGAGGAGGGCATATGGGTGGCAGGTAATGGAGGCAAGGGAATCCCAAAACTGCCTATGCTTCCCGGCTGCCCGGGAGGGCTGAGCCCATGGCACAGCAGCCTGGCTCCCTGGCCACCCAGGCAGGCGAGGACCACACCACAACAGCCCCGGTCCTCCAGGTGGCCAGGAAGGATCCAGCTTGTGGGCTGGGGTTGAGCAGGACTTGGCTGGGAGGAAGTTGTTGAAGGGGCAAGGTAGTCTCAGGAAAGGGGTGTGGCTCTGTGTAGAAGGGGCGGGGCTTGGGTTTGCCTTCTCCAGCTGGGCCTCCACCTGCTGCCCATGGGAGGGCAAGGAACACATGGGATAAGATGCTCCCAGCCCTTTCGGGGATGAACATGGAATAAATGCTCAGAATGAGAGGGGACTTGGTGTGGTTGAGCTGGAGCTCAAAGGACAAGACCTGGCCCCTGTTCAGATGGCGCCTTTCATCCAAGGGTCTCAACATCTGCTGCTGTCCAGGCCTGTTGAGATCAGTGCAAGTACGGACCGCAGAGCTCTGAGCACTTCTGGGCGACAGACTCCAGCAGCAGCCCAGCTTAAGAAGGGAGAGAGCTCTGAAGGGGAGGGGGGTGTGTGTGTTATAAAGATCCCTTGGGCTCAGCCACTCACCGCAATCCGGGCCAATCCAGGGTTGCGTTCCAAATGGGCCACTGGGAAGCCATGAATAGAGGAGGGTAGGGTTCAGCGAGAGGTGCCCAGAGATACCTGATGGATACCAAGGAGCACTCTGACCCGCAAGGCAAAGGCAATGCAGAATAGCAGGAAAATCAACAGATGAGCAGATCTGAGAGACACCGAGAGGCTCTGCTGCAGGGTGAGGCTCCGGGGTTGGTTATGGGGGCTCTGGGTTGTGGTGAGGCTCTGGGACTGGGCAACTTCCGTGCCACTTCCTGTCAACCCTTTATCCGCGGGGCTGTCCAGCCTCTGTGAGAGGGTTAGAGGAGGCGAGCACAGAAGGGTTGAGTCATCGACGCCTGGAGGCAGGGGAGGAGCTTGTGTGGGCAAAAGGTGGAGAGTCAGGGTCGCAAAGGTTGGGTAACGGGTAGCACAGGAGCTGTAGGCTCTGGCTGGGAGAGTTGTGCAGTCACGCTCGGTATCTTGATTTTCCTTCCTGAAGCAACTCACGTCTGCATCAAGACAAACGGGAACAGCACCGGATGCTCTGGAGCGTCAGAGGAGGAGCCGTCAGCGGCCCAGACAGGCTGCACAGGACTACTACTCGTGCATCCTCAGCAGCCCCCGAATGGCCGGTGAGCCACGTGGGCATGAACAACAGAGAGCAGGGGGAAGAGCTGGCCACGTGCAGTTCTGCTGGGGCGCCACATTGCCCGAGAGCTGCACTTACAGGAACGCTGGCCTCAGGACGCTGAGTGCAGCACTTGGAAAGTTTGCACAGGGAGAAGAATCCCCCACAGAGCATAAACCGGGAACGGTGCCAAGGCTAACGATCCAGATGCAAATGGGCCTCTCTGAGCCTCCAGCTGGCTGTGCCCATGTGACTGAGAAGTGACTTCCTCTGGCAGGCTGGAAGTGCAGCCCAATCCTCAGCCAAAGCCAGATTTTCTGAAGTGACTGGATCCTGATTTAAGGCACTAAGGGCCGTCCCAGAGGAACTCCCTGGAACACTGGAGGGAAATTTAGCACTTACATGCCACTCTTCATCTTCAAACATTGCTAGCTAATGCTCCTAACAGCTCTGCCTGCGTGAGAGCTCCAGCCCATCTCCCGCTTGGAACCTGCTCGTTAATGTTAGACCATTGACAGGAAACACGGAGCCCACTGGTATGTGTCAAGTGGTAGCACCGAAGTAATCCAAGCAAGGGTCAGGGAGCATTGTGCTTGGTGCAGTATGTATGTGTGTACACACACACACACACACACACACACACACACACACACACACACACACAAAAGGCCATGCCTTACATAGCTTAACACAACAAACAAGTGACTGAAAATCACTGCAGTGAGCCACGAACTTATTCCTGTGACTAGAAAGCAACACAAAGCACATCTGGCATATTCTATCTGCAGGGCATGACACTTCTGTGCAACCTTCTTCTTGAACCTGCCCCTTGAGGCCACTTTTGGCACTTAAATGGACAATGATCCAAGAGAAGAGCCTGCATGGGAAAGGAGCAAGATGACCGCACAGCCATGTTATTCCTGAAGGAATGTGAGTTGTGATTGGCTGAAGATCTTCTCCAGTCAAACCGTTTAAAAACGACATTCATTCCTGACAGTTTACCACTACAGCAAACATCTCTTTGACCTCTGAAGAGAGGCACCGAATTAAACAAAAGCTAATTGCTAGAGCCCTGAGAAGTAATGCGGTAACCACTGGTCCTCTCTGGAGAATATGGGATGATCTCCCTTCCATGACGTGAACACAAGTGTCAATCTGCATGTGAACCAGAACCTCAGCTGCTTACGGCTTTCCAGCTGGCCCCGGGGGCTGGAATATTAGTGCGGCCAAAAGCACTTCTCTGGATCCGACTTGGGAGGTTCCAAACACCTTCCTAGCTTCTCACAGCCCGGAGGAGCCCAATTCTGTTAAAAAGGAAGAGAAACGGATATAAAAATAAACCTTGTGCAATTACACTGTCACAGTCCAGACAAGGAGCCCTGAGCCACAACAGATCCATTTCTTAGTCTTGTTGAAAAAGGAACCTTCACTCAGGTGGCCAGGCATCTGGATTTCGACTGGACCGCCCCATCCAAAAGGGGTCCTGGCAGCTCCGTCAGCACCGTTGGCTGGGCTGATAAAAGCACGGGTGGCCATGCCGTGGGGCTAAGGCAGGCTCCCCACCTGCCCTGAGTCCACATGACTCCCAGGAAGTGTCCAGTGGGTCCCTGCATCTCCCAGGCAAATAGGGGGCCAGGGACTCTGTGCAGCCTTTGCCTCAAGCAATGGGTCTAATGGGAATTGCAGGGGCGGTGCCTGGGGGGTGGGAGGTGCACAGAGCCTCCTTGGCCCACGCCTTGGAGCCGCAGAGCCCTGCTGTCTGTTTCCCAGGAGCTGCCTTAGGGAAGTGCTGCCCGGACCCTGCCCCCTCTCCCATGCTCCGACCCTGAGCTCCTTCCTGCAACCCAAACTCTGCTCCTACCCTAGAGCCCGCACATCAACCCTCCGCCCCAGCTCTGAGCCTCCTCCTGCATACAAATTCCCTCCTAGAGCACACACTCCTCCCGCACGCCAACCCCCCTGTCCCCGAGCCTCCTCCTGCACCCCCACCTTCTCATCCCTGGCCACACCCCCGAGCCCACACCCCCATCCAGTGCCCTCATGCCCACCACACCTCAGCCTCCTCAAATTCCTAATCCCTTCTCCCCGCAGACCCCACCTCCAGCTGGAGCCTTCATCCCTGATGCACCCCAACCTCCTACCCCAGCCCAGTGAACGTGAGGGAGAGGGGATGAGTGAGGGATAGGGCCTCAGGGAAGGGGTGGGGGAGGTGGACAACAAAGGTGGTAAGTTTTGTGTCATTAGAAAGCTGGCAAACCTAACCTTCACAAGTGGCTACAGCTAGCATGGTCTGTCTACCTACATCCCTCCAGTAAGCCCTCAAATCCTTGCCAGCAGATGGTATGAACCTGCCTTCCCCATTAGCAACAAACATATGCACTAGCCTTCTACGAGATCTGCAGTCTGCTGGGGCTGTGACGACCTCTCTTTCCAATAATGCAATGAGAAAGCAAATCTACATGTTTGGTGAAACCCGTCAAACTGCGCCCGAGCCGGGAAAAGGCTGTAATTATTAGTAGGGATGTAACATTTCGATTATTTGGGTAATCAAATAGTCGATGCAATTTGAATCGACTATTTGATTAGTCGATAAGGGCTGTTGCTACACTTCAAAGGCAAAAATGCCGCAGAGAGCACAGGGCCAGTGGGGACTGGGCTGCACCTGGCATTTCAACGTGGCACTGCCGCTTCGAAGCGCCCCCTCCTTGCTGCCTCTTTCTGATAGGGGCAGCAAGTGGGGGGGGAAGTGACTAGTTGACAAGCATGTCGACTATCCGATCAGCATTTGCTTATGACTAGTGGTTCACGTCCCTAATTAGGAGCGTAAGGTATGTTGTGACGGTTCTTAAGGAACCGAGCAGAAGGCAGCTTCTGAAGACCGAGGGCGGGCGTGATACCCATATTTATGGTTTAATGAGTGTTTTGGTGGCCTGCCCAATGAACTGATGGATAAAGTGGCGTTTTGATGACAGCCACACCAAAGCAGGTGGGCCAAGGCTGTTCGCCTCCCTTGTTTTCTTGCTTCTGTCCTAGTGTACAGGCGGCGGAGGACAAACGCGCTCAGGGAGGGAACCCAGCTTCCAAAGGGCTATTAGGGAATGGGGGGAGGGGAGTATTTAAATGATGAAAAACCAAATGAAATGGGGGATTGGTGTAAAATGAATGGCAAGGTTACAATTCCTGCTCTGTCACCCGAAATCTTCTGCTCACAGTAGCTGTGTAAATGCAGATCTTTCCTTCCTGTCTCTCAGTGCCCAGACATTCATGAGAGATTCTTCCTGTCAGTTATTAAAGGTCACGTCTGCCCTGGCCTATTGTCTTTTGTATTTTTTAATCTTGTTTGGTATCCAAGTCCTTCAGGGGAAAGACTGACACTGGAGAAAAAACGGGAGCGGGTTCACATTCCGTGGAACTAACGACAGATGGCAGTGACGCACCAGCAATCTCTGTGGGCCGGGGAAGGCAGAGGAATTTCATAGGAACAGGACTCCTGAAATGAACGGCTCCAGACAATTTAGGACCAATTAATTGTGCTTTCTAAGTAAGTTGCTCCCTTTCAAAATACATAAGAACAAAGGAAACACACTGGAAATTTCACAGGCTAACCGCAGAGCCAACCAACCAAAGGGAACTTTCAACCTTTTGAAAAACTGGGTTATATCTGCATTAGACTGAAGGTCTAAGTCCATTCAGCTCTGACAGACCCACTCTGCAAACACCACGCCCTGAGCCCCCTCCTTGGGCTGAGTCCCACAGCCTGCGTGCATAGGGGCCGTTTCTCCAAGCTGGCCCAGGGTGAGCTCAGCTCTGCAGGATCCCTGCACACTGAGAGCAGGGGTACTCAGGCCCAAGAGAGTGCGGCCAGAGGAGCTGCCACAGGAATGGCGCAGAGATGCTAAAGTTTCAGCACCAATTCCAGCCCTGAGATGGGGTGGTCTGCTTCACACCCTGGCAAAACAGGAAAGATTCCTCTGCCCGGTCCTGGAGGGGAGCTTCACCGCACAACCCAAGTAAATGCGCCCGGCACCAAAAACAGTGCCTGGGACCCACTATTAGGTACGTGCAGAAATCAGAGACCCTTTCAAGCCATTTATCAAAGCCAGCAATGTAATCTCGTTGCTGAGGGAGGCAGCACAGCAGCACTGATTTTTCAACTGCTTCCCTTGCACAACAGCCAAGCAATGAAACCCCCAGAAATAGGAGATAGTAAAAACGTATTAAGCGACTCTACCCATCTTCCTCCTAATGAAGGTTTGTTCCCTTTGGTGTATTCTGGAGCCACTAGAATTTGCCCTGGGAAATTATTTCATGGTCAGGAAGATCTTTCCTGTTATTCAAACTACAACATTTTTCTTTTCCAGTTTCACCCCAGAATCCTACAAATATCTGGGATTTATGCAAAATAATTCTCCCTCTTCAGGTTTTACATGCTTCAAATATTGCCTTTGCCTTTTTCAGTGTCCCAAACCATCCAGATCAGAAGGAGCCCAGTGGAAATTGGGAATGTTTTAACTGAAATGCCAAAGCACAACTATCAACCATCCCTTTGCTGTGCTGAAGATCATGAAGACTTTGGCAAAGACAGTTGTGTGGATGGAGACCAAAGATACCCAATCCCATTCAGAACGAGAGCCCTGGTGCCAGTCCCACTGTGCACAATGCAGCCAGATTGCTGTAGGCAGGATTAGGGAAGAGGAGAAGGAACCGGAGGGGTGGATACTGTGCTATCTATAAGGAAGGAAGGCACCGAGTTTATATCAGTGTGCTGGCAGACTTTCCAGGCCTAATGCCACTGACTTTGTACTAACGCATTCCACAGATAACCAGCGGCCGTATCTTCAATGCAGTAGCCAGAGAGCCCTTCAAAAGGAGGGAATGACAGTCCTCCTCTAGCCCTCCTCCGCGCAAGGCGAGACTTTTAAGCTTTACGAAATACATTATAAGTCAAGAGTGCTTCAATTGATTTATGCTTTAATCCCTCACCATGACGGCCTTGTCACACACGTTTAGCTGCGGCTCCCCTGGTACCATCTTCTCCTTGTGCTGCTGGACCACGGGGACTATTTGCTCCATGACGTCCTGGTACTCAGAGCTGGAAAAGCTAGAGCCACGTGAAAAGCAAGAGGAGTTATTAGTTAGGCACTGCTGGCCGGGGGTCTGGTCTGCTGCATTGAGGGGACCTGAGTGTGTACAGCGCATGCTACGTAGGCCACAGGCTCAACGCCACTGGGAAACTGATGTCTGGTGCGAATGTTCAGGGATGGGGCCTTGCGCACCACACAGGCAAGCACCTGGTAACACAGCTAAGTGGATCAGTAAGTTGGGTAGGGTTTCCAAAAGCACCAGAGGACTCTGGAGGTCAACTTCCATTGACTTTCCACTGCAGTTGAGGGCCTCGGTCAGGGGAGGCGAAAGCCACGCCAGACCCTGGGCAAGTAGGGGGGCAGTTCTGCGCTCCCAAAAGGGGCGGGGCTGAGGGCAGCGGAGCGCACCATGTGGCATCCCACTTCCCGAGCCAGCCCTAAGAGCCGCCCAGAGTGGGCCATGCCATGGCAGCTATTTAAAGGTCTCAGGACTCCTGACATGGCTGCTCCCACGGGCCCCTTTGAATCACTGGGCTCCTGGGCAGCCATCCCCTTTGCTCCCCTCCCCGTTGACAGGCCTGGCCTTGGTGCTTTGGAACACCTCACCCCTCGCCCTAGAACACAGGGAATAACAGTTCTTTGCATCTTTGTTGTACCCCGGACTCAAGGATTTTTAGGCGTTTTGTTCACCAACACCAACTAACACAATCCCCCAGCGAGGCGGGCTAACACCGTTACCCCCACTCCGCAAACGGAGAACCCGAGAAAGAGAGAACTCCCGGGACAGAACCTCAAGTTCCCAACTCCCCAGCCCACATTTTAACAACAACAGTGTTCAGCTGGCACCAACCTATCACAGTCATATACAGGGTACTAACCAAGCCAACCCCTCCCCCCCGCAAAGAACTGTGAACCCACCCTCCTTTCATCAGAATTATTACTTCAGTAGGCATTGTTTAAGTGGCTGACACTCTATTTCACTGTGGTAATACTTCAAGTACCTCTAAAATGGAGGATTAATACCCAATGATCTCATTTTGCCCATCATATTAAGAGTCACTTAGGAAAGAGAGAATGGCAAATTGCTTCTCGAGATAAAAGGGAAACAATGCAACGTGGTCCTGACCCCCAGGCTCTCTCTGCTAATAGCCTAGGCTGGCCACCGGCCCCACACTCCTGCTAATTTCCTTTTCTGAAAAACGTGCCAACCGTTTCCAGTAAACCCTATAAATATCACATCACCCGGCAGCCTTCCAGAGACAAGCCGATTGTGGGGATGGGTCTGAGCCATGCTGATAGAGAACAAAAGGGAATTGGGAATGACAAGCTAATCTGTCTCTCTCACACCCGGCGAGCAATATCCTGGATCAGAGAGCAAATTTAGAGACTGTCACCAGGTCTGGCTGCATGATCTTGTTGGACCACCAGGAAAGATTATTCTTGTGAAGTTCCTATTTCTCCCCCCCCTTCTCTTTCCTCTCATACAAGCTCCTTTTCTCTCCAACTGCCACAGATTCTACAGTTCTGTTATATCTGAGGTTATTCTGAAAACTGGGAGGTCAACCAAAAGTTTTGGCGGTCCCGAAGACCATTGCCGACCACCACTCTTGATAGGAGCACTCAAGGCAGTAGCCACATGGGTCAGGAAGTTGCGACAACATTGCGCCCGAATGGCACAATGGCCACATTGTATCTGGGGATTCTTTGGTCATGTCCAACGCACAAGGACTCCCAGGAAGACCTTTTGTTACACGTTACTCAGCTGAGGCTGTTAGGTCTTCCAAGCTAATCTATGTTGCCATGCAGAGAAGAGATCACAAAGAAACACCCATGCACTGGCAGGCGACATCACAAAGCATATGGATGTCGTAAGAGACGTACAACACCTTACACAATCCATTGGACCTCTCAGCCCATTAAAATTGGATCGTTCCTTAAAGGGGGAATGTCACTATGCTGCAAAGCTGAAAGGAGAGAAAGTTTAAATGCCACCGTGTTTGGCAAATCGGACCCCAAGACAGCTTGTATGCCACATGAAAATACATGATAATAGCAACAGTGCTTTGTCCTTCGATGGGCCCTTTCCTCCAAGGATCTCAAAGTGCTTTGAAAATCTTATTTAATTACACTTCACATTACGGTGCCGTTTATAAAAAGGTTAATAAATGATTCAAGAGGTTTTAATAAATGGCTAATTAATTGTTAGAGGATCCAACAACATATTGCTCCAGACCACCGCACCTTTTACTGACGTGGCTATAATGACCTAATACACCTATTACAGATGTCGGTAACCCACTTAACACCCATGCAGCATTTATTAGCCTTTTATAACAATTTATAAATGGAACTTACGAGCTTAAATCTTAAACTTTACATCTTCTTTTTGACCGAAGGGCTGAAGGCGTCACCCCCCAGAAGTGTTTTTGGTGCACAGGATTCAAAACGAGTTAGCCAGGCCACAGAGGTGTTTTCCGACAGGTAAGAAGGGGTTGCTGTGATTTTGCTCTGTGCGTGTCAATGCTGTGTCCGGCAAAACCCTCCTTTCTGTCACACTCACAGCCACTGGCTTTGTCCGCAGCTCCACTTCCCACCAGCCATCTGTTACACACGTGTGCATGGTGCAGAACCGACTGGGGAAGGCTAGTGGCATTTCTAGCACTGCCTTACTCCGAGTGGCACCGTTAGGCCATTGTTTTTGGGGTCCTCACTAGTTCAGTAACATAGGAAATCTTGGCCCAACGTCCGCTCCTCTTCCCCTGACTAGCAACTCCCCTTTCGCTTTATCTACGTAGCCTGGAGTATTCTAATCAGCCCTCACAATCAAACATACAGATTCAGATCCTTTCCGTATTTTTCACAGTTTCTAGAAGCACGGCCTGTTTGAAGCAGCCTGGCTCAGACACGAGTACAGTCTACTTAAGGCCATGCCTAGGCTGTTTGAGAACATCTTCCCTAACCAACATTAGTGAAAACAAGTGAAATACTGCATAGACATGAGCTTAGTGCTCACCCTGAGCCTCCACTGGTGTTTTCAAACATGCTGATATGGCGGTATTGAAAAACTCTAGCCCACAAGTCCGACTTTGGGAAGGGGAGATGGAGGGGCCTCTTGGTGCAGGCCAGGCTACTAGCCAATGTAAGGTGTTCTTAATCAGACCCTAAGCTGTGTTTGCTATGTTTTTAAAATGCACCCGAGGTTTCTCATCTAGTCATGTGCTAAGTGTTTGGGTGTTCGGGGGGAGTCCCCTGGCCAGGAAGCTGCCTTTCACTTTAAACTGCAGTCATGCCGAGAAATCACAATTCACGCCTTTGGGGCTCTTATTTGAGTGCCAGCCCGGCTGGCCTGTCCTTTGCCCAGGGAGCTCACAACTCAATTCAGGCCCCTTGTTCATATCTACACCATATGCCTTCAGAGGATCCCACGTTCATGTGCAGTGCTTTTACAGAGCTGTACTTCGAGACGGTATGTGGTGGGTAGCCACTGCCCAGAGCCTCGTGGCAGAAGCATGTTTGAAGAAGGAGTTTGTAATAGGATTAGCACCAAAGTCGAGGGGGTAACTACTTCCTGGTAACCAAGCTGAAATTTAACTGTGAGCTGTTAACGTTGCTGGGAACCTCTTACTCCTACGAGCCGCCCCGTTGTCGGCAGTGGAAATGCAGGATCAGGCCCCAGGTGCAGAGCCTGCCATATATTCCATAAAAATTGTATTATCTATCCAGGTGTTTGAACGTTGCCGTCAGACCTCTCTGCCTCCAGGGCATGCTGCATTTGTATTCTAGCTCAACAATGCGGCTGAAGGGAAGAGCTGGGAATAGCAGGGAAAGAAGGAGAGAACGTGAGCCAGGGCTGAGCAGGTGTTGGTTAGAGGAGTGTGCTAAGAGATCCCCCTGTGTACATGAAATTATTCCATGTCCAGAATGAAAGAACAGAGTGGACCGAGTGCAGGGTCATTACACTAATTGACACTTTACCTCCAGGAAGTCTCTGGAGAGCCAATCAGGGCTGGATGCAAGCACTAGGTCTCAGACACAGGTGTGGCCTGTGCTTAGTTCATTTAGAGTAATTGTGCTTTGGCAATCTGTTCTCATCTGCTCCCTCTCCAAACAAATCCACCGGTAAACCCCTCTGCTGTCAGCACCCCTCCCCCACACCCTGCAGTGAAATTACAACTTGGGGGAGGGGATGGAGAGGTCTTTCATGTACTACTTTGATTAACAGTATCATTTGAAGCTGAGACTCCTCACAGTCCTTCACCTTCAGGCTTGCTACTAATTTTACATTATATGAGAAACGAAGAGACAACTTCTGTGTTTTACTCACATAAACCCATAATACAAAATAAACCAGGTAAAACATTTCTAGCTAGTTTTGTTTTTCGGCTAGATCTTGGTTTTTAGATTATACCATTTCCAGGTGATTAATATATAAGCAGCCTCCAATACCTCTATGCTGGGAACCATGCGGTTACCTTGTTATTGAAAGAATATAACAAGCTTAATAGCAATCTGACACCAAGCTACTTAATACCAGAGCTCAGATTTACAGTATATTTTACCGGATATAGGTGAAGTTAGTGGAACAGCATAAAATCTGGTTAATAAAATGGCTTCTGTATTTTAGTCCTCTCCCTATTGCAGCGGTTCCCAACTTTTTCCAGATGGGGACCCATTTTGACAATTCAGGAAGACTTGGTGACCCAAGGCAATTCAAGAATGGCGGGAGGAGGGGGGCAGAGCCAGCTGGGGAAACACTTGGCGACCCTTTTGAAATGTAATGGCCAGGGCTCGACAAACAGTGGCGAAATCCACTCGCCAGCCCTGCACTGCGCATGCGCCAGACCCGCACTGCGCATGCATCCACCACCGGTGAACGGGGCGACCAGCTGAAATCTACTCGCCATGGGTGAGTAGATAAACGGATTTGTCGAGCCCTGGTAATAGCGACCCATGTTTGGGTCCCAACCCATAGGTTGGGAAACCAGGCCCTATTGGAACTGGTTTAACAAAAATCCCG